GGACAGTGGTCAGGGTGCCAGCTAGCAAACACCGGACCTGGGTTCATCCATGGCCTCTTGAGCATCAGCCATGCAGCCAGAACAGCCCAGCAGCCCATTGGTGGTACCAGCCCCACAGGGTCCAATCCAGTACAGACCTCCAGCCCAAATGACTGAGATTCACCAGGCAGACCGAGGCCTCCTAGTGAATCTGCCTGGGAAGCCACTCCCTCCACTCTACAAAAAATATTCAGTCTAGGACCATGGGTATGGCTTAAGTCCTCAACAACATGCATGGCCCTGAGCTCCATCACCAGTAGTACACATCTGTCACCCCAAAGCCCTGCCTGGAGAGTCCCCCTGCTCCCCTTAACACTGTGAGCTCCCCAAGTACTGCGGGACCCAAAAAATGCAAGAAAAGCTGAGACAAGCTGAAAGGTCAGCATCACACAGAGGATGTGGAACCTGAGACCCACCATCGGCTCAAGCACCCTTTCCAGGATGGGGCATTTCACTGATCTTGTTTAGGCATATCCCTTTCTGTGAAAATTAAAGATAAATTTAACAAAGTTGATATGATTTTACTTATTTAGGAATACCATAAATTCCTTAAAATTCTTTGCAAGTCTATTCCCCTTTCTGGTTTGTCCCACTATTGATAAATAATTTATTATTCTCCATGTCACCACTCCCAACATGGTAAACCAGCATTAAGTTCTAGAAGGTACTCTACTCTATACTGTATTCTTTTTACACACTCTCAGATTCACATCCTATCACCGCCACCATGTCAGCTCATCTATCGGTCCAGCTTCAGAGACTTATGATGAAATCTAGAAAGAGATCAACTAGCCACAAAAATTTCTTGGACAGATGAGTCCCCGACTAAGATGCTAGGGGTGACCTTGGGCAGGGTGGGCCAAGTCCCTGCCCTTCTGAAGATTCAGCAGCTGTACTCACCCCAACAGCCACCACCTTACTCACAGGCAGACTCCACCACCTCATGACTGAGCTCCGCAGAGATGCCAAACTCTGGAAAATTTCACATATGCTGAGGTTTATTTGGCTAAAAATCTCCAGGTCTTCTCAGAATGAGGGTGGGTGACCCATTCCCCTCACCCGCACCATACCTCTGGAAGCCCCAGCACCCACACCCACATTCCACCACAGCCACCATATAAGATCACTGTCGAGTTAAATAGTCTGCATTTTCTGGAGTGTGCAGATGTAATCTTGGCGGCTCAATATCTCCAAACCATAATACTAGCAACCCAGTAGGCGCACATCAGGTTGGATGGGAAAGTAACAGAGAAGTCAATTAAGCTCAATTAACAAAAACATTGACACAGAAAGCCCAACTAGCAACAACATTTAGTAAACCCTCAGACAAGGACTTAATGTCCCCACGAAGAGACATAATTTTCACAAATTTTCTTTAACTGAAGTATTTTTTGGATCATTCCACTGACCATTTAATGGTAATAAGCAATATAAAATAAATTATTGTGGGTGTGCCATAGGGGCTGGCTTGAGGGACAGTTGGGAAAATGGAGACAATGGTGGAAGGATTGGTGTTGGACTATTGAATGCCTGTAACAAATCATCATGAACCATTTTGTAAACCACCATATTTAAATAATGTGGGGAGAAAAAAACCCTCTGATTTGATTGTTCAAGAGGGCTCAGTAACGTCTTCATTGTGAGACTTGTTGTTACTGTGTTTGGCATATCAAATACATCACAGGTAGCTTGCCAGGCTTTGCCGTGCGAACGGGATGCTCTCGGTAGCTTGCCGGGCTCTCTAAGAGGGGCAGAGGAATCTAAGGCAGAGGAATCGAACTCGGGTCGGCCTTGTTCAATGCAAATGCCCTGCCCATTGTGCTATTGTTCCAGCCCAAATAATATTAAGATAAACTTCAAGTCTTCTAATACATGGACTTTTTAATTTAGTTTCACCACATTTGGTCCTTATAGATTGGGTTCAGCCTATTTTTTTTAAAAAATTCTCCAATGAAAGAGAGAGTGAGAGAGAGTGAGAGAGAGAGAGAGAAAGAGAGAGAGAGAGAGAGAGAGAGAGAGAGAGATGGCAGGTTAGGGATGGTGGGGCAGTCAGGGAGGAAAACTGGGAGCACTGGTGATGGGAAATGTACACTGGTGAAGAGTCGGGTGTTGGAACACTATATGACTGAAACCCAATCATGAACAATTTTGTAACTGTATATCTCACAGTGATTCAATTAAAATATAAATATTTTAATTCTCCAATAAATATTTTATTGTAAAAAAACTCTGATTCACAAAACTGCATGGTATTAGAAAAATTTAAGGCTTATTATGGACAGATTCTGACCAGGGGATTAGAATCAAGAGCCCAAAGACAAATCTCCAGATCCATCAACTAATTTCCAATTAGCTGGGTACATGGAAGAAGCTGGGTACATAAAACAGAATACAGGAAGGCCTTCAGCAAACAGTATGAGGAAAAGTGGGGAATATCAAGCAAAAAATTGAAGCTGGGTCCCTATCCCATACCTTATACAGAGTTTTTCAAAGCAAAACAAAGATGAAGGCAAATCCATTACACAGGCAAAACACTCTGAGTCTTGGACCTTAGACGTGGTTTCAGTGATATGAGTCCACTGGCAAAACCAACAGAAACACCAATAAGTGTTTAATTTGATAACTTTCTTATCACATTAAAATGTTTCTGCGTGCAAAAGAAACATAGGCTAAAAATAAGAGGTCCCTTACTGAGTGGGAAAAAAAATATTCTCCCTCAACAAATCAGATAAAGGATTAATGTGCAAGATATACAAAGATGTATAAAGACTTCACAGAGATCAGCAACAAAATTCCAAAAACCATATGAAAAGCAGGGAGAGGATATTAACAGATGTTTCTTTGAAGAAGACAGACATATAGCCAACAGGCACATGAAAAGTGCTCATCATCACTTATCTGAAAACTGCAAATCAAGATGACAATGAAACACCATCTCATACCAGTGGGAGTATCCAAAAAACCTAGAAACAGGGTTGGAGAGATAGTGCAGAAGGTAAAGTACTTGCCTTGTAAGCAGCTGGCCCAGGTTCAATGCCCAGAACTGCAAACGATCCCTTGAGCGCCTCTAGTAGTCCCTGAGTGCAGAGCCAGGAGTAAGCCCTAAGGCCCAAAACCCAGGTAAGGTAAGGTAAGGTAAAGGCCCTCCCGTTGATCGTCGATTTGCTCGAGCGGGCCCAGTAACGTCTCCATTGGAGACTTTGTTGTTACTGTGTCTGGCATATCGAATACTCTCGGTAGCTTGCCGGGCTCTCCGAGAGGGGCGGAGGAATCGAACTCGGGTCGGCCATGTTGGCCGCTTGTAAGGCGAACGCCCTACCCCAGAAGGGAAAAAAAAAAAACACCTGGAAAAGGTCTGTAGGTCTGTGTATGCAGACAAGTATTAAAAAGTAACTCTCATTCACTTCCCATGGGAATGTGGTCTGGTTCAATCTCTATGGAAAACCGCATAGAGATCCCAGGAAAGTAAGAATACAACCCAGCAGTTCCAATTCTAGGTAGCTACCACCAGGACACAAAAACATTTCATTCCAAAGGATATATTGCACAACATTATTTTTTGCAGGATTTAGCACAGTACCTAGGAAATGGAATCGAGCCAGGTGTACAATGACAGACAGCAGATCAGGAAGATACTGTACATATACCAAATAGAATACCATGTAGCTGCAAGGAACGATGAAATCATGCAACTCACCACAAAATGGATGGAACTGGAGGATATTATGTTAAGTAAAATAAGTTACAAAAATGAAAAAGGAAAAAAAGGGAAAATATTGAATGATCTCACTTATCTGTGGTATAAAGAATAACATGAAAAGGGATTGCAATATAAAGTACAATAGCTTGTCAAACTACAATTGTGTATGAAAAAACTATTTTTAGGTAAAGAAAATTAAAAGATATTTGCTACTTCTGGTATGCCCCAGAGCAAGATAATGATAACCTAAATAAAACCATGTCTATGTCTCAGGGGGTCAAACCTGAATTCAGTGATAAGCTGCCTTTGGCAAACGTGCTGTTTGTCAGGGCACTTTTATACCCAGCATATCGCATTCCTTTGGCTCTTTGAACTTTGACCACCCTCATTCTCGACATTTTTTTCTCTGGCACTTATTTTCCTCTGCCTCATATAATTAATTCTTAAAATTCATCCCTCCACATACTCAGCATGCATCACCTTATCAGTGCATTCCTCTCACACCTGTAGCCATAAGTCACCAGTTTATACAAAGTCTAATAGTCACTGTTTGATCAATAACTCAGAACAAGGTCTGTTCTGAGACTTCACTGTAGCACTGTCCTTCCGTTGTTCGTTGTTTTGCTCGAGCGGGCACCAGTAACATCTCCATTGTGAGACTTCTTGTTACTGTCTTTGGCATATCAAATAGGTCACGGGTAGCTTGCCAGGCTTTGCCGTGTGGGTGGGATACCCTCGGTAGCTTGCCGGGCTCTCCAAGAGGGGAGAAGGACTCAACCCGGGTCGGCTGTGTACAAGGCAAACGCCCTACCCGTTGTGCTATTTAGCTGAGTCAGTAGAGCATCAGACTTTGTGAGACTTGACCGTATGCTTCTAAAAGGTAACATGCAGGTTGCTAGCACTTGCTGACAACAGCCTGTCCAACCCAGAGGGAAGGCAGGAAACCCAGATTTTCAGTCAGGTGAGATACAGAGAAGATGTTCACAATTTATTCAGGTGTGTGCCTCAGTCTGATTCCCCCCACACACAGGATCCCTAGGGTCCTTCCTCACAATGCAAGGCTCTGTCTGAGCCTTCATTCATGTCTCCACTGTGAATGAAACCTTTGCATATTTTGTACTTACTAGTTCAAAGGCACCATCGCATTCTCAAATGAAAGAATGAAATTACAGACACTAGGAGTCTTGAGAAAATGATAAATAAGACCAAACGGAATCAAGTGAGCTCCTCCCAGGCCCTCCCTGAAAGTGCCGTGACTTACCTGACATTTTCCAGGGCACTTGTTATCTGCTGCTGCTCAATGTCGTAAAGCTTCACCTGGAGGCCTCCGCTGGCAAACAGCATAGCCCAGCTGCACCCAATGAGCCCACTAAATGGAGAAAAAAAAATTTAAGTTTCCATGTAGCATAATCAGGTTTTCATCCCTAACCCAGAATAAAACATATAAAATTATACAGCATTGCATCTTAAAATACTTAAAATAGTCCTGTCCTGTCCTCCCATTGCTCATCAATTTTGCTCAAGCGGGCCCAGTAACGTCTCCATTGTGAGACTTGTTACTGTGTTTGGCATACTGAATACTTTACGGGTAGCTTGCCAGGCGCGTGGGCAAGATACTCTCGGTAGCTAGCCAGGCAGGCTCTCCGAGAGGGGCGGAGGAATCGAAACTGGCTCCGCCAGGCTGGCTGTGCACAAGACAAATGCCCTAACCCTGTGCTATCGCTCCAGTATCTTGAAATTATACTTCTAAGAGCTGTATCTAAAACTTGACATTTCCACATAGTGTGTGAATTCTTAGCCCGGTGCCAGTACTAATGCTCCACATGAAGTGCCACCTTCTCACACTAGACAGAAAGCAGCAGTGGGCGGCGGCCAAGTAGTCTGGGGGAGAAAGGTCTACAGATACTGTCAGGTATATTTCCTATATTCTTCAAAAATGAATCACTGCTACCACCTTTGGGCATGAATTAGAATCAGACTATATTAAACATTTAGGTCTTGATCTTCATAGCCTACAAGACAGGTGCGGTTACTTCCATTTTATGCAAAGTGAAAAAGGACTCAGAGCACAGGCATTCTGACCTGTGGGATGAATACAAACAGAGAAATAGAAGTAGAGGAGAGAACTGAACAATTCCCACTGGTCAAATAAAGCTGAAACAATGGAGAGAAAAACAAAAATAAAGTAACATTACTGAATAAATAAATGAGGAAAAAAAGGAAATCTTTTGTGTAGAATTCCAAATAATTTATGCAGACACTCTGCCCTCAAGGAGTCACCACATACATCCCTTCCCTGAGGTGGAACGAGACAGAGTGATACCCTTTCCAGGAGGATAGTATGGGAAGGGGGATGACTGGGGTAACTTTACTGGAGAAACGTCGGCCAGGTGAGCACCACCAGTACCAACAGTGGTCAATCACGCAGACAGAATAGGCATCTGATGCAAGGAAAAGGGACCTCTACCTCTGTGACTCCCCCCCCCCCCTTAAACATCCATCACTTCAATATCATAATAAGCAAACCTCCACACAGTGACAACACCAGACACTCTACACGCAGCTGGCCAACTGTCAAGGCCTACAATGAAGACAGCAGAAGAAACTCAGTGAAGAGGATCCCGAGGATAAAGGCCAAGTCAACAGAAATTGCTGGCCTGAAACATGCTCAAACAAAGGAGCCATCTCATATTTGGAAAAATTCACACTAATTTATTCATAGTTTGAAGGAAGGAAATCCTGGAACATACTACAGTGATGCTGGACCTTGAGGCAGTAGTAGGTGAAACATCAGTTACAAAAGGATAAATACCGTGTGGCCCCACATTTATTAAGACAATTATTCTAATTCATGGGGACAAAAGGCCGGGGCTGAGTGAGGAAGGAAAGGGGAGTTATTCACCCCTTGGGTGGGGTTTCAGACTTGCAATATGAGTAGACTCTGGACACTGGGTGCACAACAATGTGAATGTACTTACCATCACTGAGATATACACTTGAAATATTATATTATGTTTATTAATATATATTGATGAGCAGCCTGCAAAACAGTTAACAATTTAACAACCTGAAAAAGGCTAATTCTGACCTGCTCACCCAACCAGAAGACAATAGGACCTGCTCTTGTTTGCATAGAGGAAAATGTACTGTGAACATCCTTCCAAACTCAGCCCCATGTCTTGTTATCCTCAAACCCTGGACCACCTAAGGGCCTTTTTCTCATGAGTTTTCAGCCTTAGACAAACTCTCGACCAGTGGATTCAGCTTATGCATATACTCATGCCTGGGTGCGCAGACTGCTGGAGGGGAGGCAAATGATGGATATTTCCATAATACTTTCTGGGGCTGGAGCGATAGCAGGGGCTGAAGCGATAGCACAGCGGTAGGGCGTTTGCCTTGCACGCAGCCAACATGGCCGACCCGAGTTCGATTCCTCCGCCCCTCTCGGAGAGGCCAGCAAGCTACCAAGAGTATCTCGCCCGCATGGCAGAGCCTGGCAAGCTCCCTGTAACATATTCGATATGCCAAACACAGTAATAACAAAGTCTCCAATGGAGACGTTACTGGGCCCGCTCGAGCAAATCGACGAACAATGGGAGGGCCTTTACTTTACTTACTTTACTTTCTGGAACTAGTGAAATGACAGGAAGGGAGCAGGTCCCGGCTTGCAGCACCCCATATGGTCCCGCTGAGCCTGCCAGGAGTGATCTGAGAGCACAGAGCCAGGAATAAGCTCTAAGGGGTATGTGTGCACACCTCACCCCCAACTCCCCCTCCTCTGAGCACTCACAAAAATAAATAAATAACAGTGACTTTATACAGCAAGTTTTTAAGCTAAGCTACCAGCAATATGAACTTGTTTTAAATGAACATGTTTTTGTTTGCCTGTTGAATAAAATAAGATCTATGCACTGGGAACTCTCATCTTTGTATTCTTGGAATAAAATACAGAGACCTGACTGGTATTTGCCACTGACAATGACAATAAGCCCCTGCCCTGGGTCAGCATGGAAGCCATCACACTGTGCAAGTATTCAGAGTGTCAACCATCACATGTTCTCAGCTCTGACAAAACTATACTTCCTGTGCTGGGGTCGCAGACAAAAGGGCATGTCAGACTGCACATCTAGAAGGACGAGGTGCTAGAGAAAAAGAGAGAGCAGAAGATGGGCCACTAGCAAAAGCACAGGCTGGGAGCCAGAACAGGGTGTGAGTACTGAAGGGGACTCGGTCACAGAAGACCGGAGGAGGTATATGGGGACAGACCAGCAGGATTCTTGGCAGAGTGAAGCAGGTGCGCAAGGCAGAGCTGAGAGTCTTACACAGATGAGCAAGGCTATTCTTCTTCTAGAAGACAGAAGTGTGGATAGATCCAAGGGTCTAAGTGTTGGAACAGAAATAGGAAGAGTAGAGAGTCCATTAATACTGAGGAAGAAGACTCTAGATGGAATAGACTTAGGGAGAAAACTCTGTGAGTTCAAAAGTCTGCTTTAAATTTGAGATATCTAATCATAATATTTAGTCAACAACTGCTTATGCCTTAAGGTCTGGGGGCAAGGTCTGGGTTGAGGGTAGTAGTTTAGTATTTAATAGTGGCAGTATTAAACTGATAGTACTGAAACCACAAAGGAAGCATCTACTAAGAAAGTCACAAGACTGAGTTTTGGGACACTTCATCTTTGATAAAGAAAGTTATAGAGACAAACAGGACTTCTTTTCGTAAAAAAAAAAAAAAAAATGAGTAGGGTGTTTGCTTTGCACACAGCCGAACCAGGTTCAATCCCCAGCACTCCATATGGTTCCCTGAGTAACTCCTGAGTGCAGAGCCAGAATTAACACCTGAGCAGCACCAGGTGTCACTCAAACACCAAAAAGGAGTTGTGAGCAGGGTCGAAGAAAAACCCAACCTACAGTGTTAATCAACAGGCAACAAGTAAGAACTGACAAGTTTATCAGAAAAAAAAGGATGAGACTGTGATGGGAGAGGTTTTGATAGAAGAAAAATGTGTGTCTCACCCTAATGACCAGTTCAGGACATTGGAACAAAGTTGCAAGTTAAATGACTGTTCAGGATACATCAAGCAAAATTCAGGACATAAAATATTTTATCAGGCACATGACTCATGTTCTCCAATAAGTAAACTGTCGGGGGATTCTTTTCTGGCTCAGTGGTTTAGAATTGCCTACACTGCAAGCCTCGGGCCAATAGTGCAACCCCAGCACCCTAACACATGTCCTGCACGGCCTCAGCTCTCCAGGCCAACAGCCACTTTCCCTGAGCCCAGCACCACTGCTGAGCTCTGCCTGCACTGTGGCCACGTGCACGGCAGCAAGACTGCCTCCAACAAGCACCAGAGCTGCAGAACACATGCAGACCATTGTGGCTGAGAAGGTGGGAATGGAGCAAAGTGAAAAAGCCCTCAGACTCCATTATAGTTCTATAGGGGGAAGGATATAAAAATGTAGAATGAAACACTACCTACTGCATGGAACCCCACAAGAAGTAAAGCCAAGAGTCCAGTATGGAGGATGAACAATCGCAGAAACACAACTGGGGAGCGCACCCACCCCCGGAGGAAGTGGAGTGCAGAGAAAGGGCAGGCCATAGCATTGCCCAAACTCAGGGGGAGCAAGTCAATCAACGCCCCACTGCTGAGTCCAGAGTCAGGACATGGACATGGACAGTGCACAGCAAGGTGTCAGGGCACTCTGAATCAGCTGAAACATGAAGCTGACCGCTGGAGGACAGGCCCTGCCATCAAAAGCCAACCTCAGAAAAGCAGTGGGCACACTGTGCTCTGCTCCCCGTCCAGCTCACATCTGACAGTCTTGCACTGTCAGGTCAGCATCCAGAGGTGACCAGATCAGGCTGTGGGTGTTTGCTAGTTTTCCTGAGCCAGGCAGGTAGATGGAAGCACATGTGCAGATACCAAGCCTGTGTGCTCCTGGGCTCCAGGCACGAGCAACTGCAAACACGATGGGGCAACATGGTCTCTCTGTCTACTGGTTTCAACTGAGCCAGGAGTAAGCTTGTTGGCAGAAAATCCCAAGCAATGGTTCAGAGCAACAGCATTTGCATGAAATTTGCAAATGGGCTCCATACACTGTTACCCAAAAGCAGGCCTCAACCCTAGCCGGCACATCGTATCATGGAGGAACGTGATATTTATCTGCACTAATGGAGGAAGACAAAAGCCCAGGCAAGACACAAGATGAAAGTTCACAGTACCGCTCTACATCATCTGACAAGCTCTTCAAAGTAAAGTTGGCAAGGATATTCACTGAACTAAACAAACAGTATGATAGCCCCAATAAGGAAATTAAGTATGAGAAATTTTTAACCAGAAGACACCAAACTTAAGACTAGAG